GTTAATATTTATTTTCTGATTGGCTTATAAATCATATAATCATTAACATGAATCACTTTTTAACTTGACGGTGGCATCTAAAGCTGTCTTATCTTATCGCTGTCTATTTCAGCATCCTATGATCCAAAAACACTTTCTCGAAAGGTTAAACATCAATAGAAATTTAAATGCTTTGATTGTTAGGGTCCCAAAGTGCAGCCATGTGGAAATGGAATTCGTACATATGGGTGTATTTATACATACATATGTACGTGCTGGATCGTATATAAAATGTTCCGCTTTTTATAGAAACAAGATTCTTATTATTTTTATAGATTTTATGTTTTTGATTTTCGTTAGCCTTAGAGCTTATTAGTTTTTTTATACACATAAATCGAATCAGATTGCCAAATGCTACTTATAAATTTCGAAAATTCGATTTGAGCAAACAAAAGAAAACAGAAGAATTACAGTAAAATAAAGAGATGGTGCTTTAATAACTTATAAGCCAAAGGAAAAGACTAAGGGTTTTAAATACAAGTATAGAGACAAATTCAACAGGTTTTTAATTGAAAAAAAAAAAAAAAAAAACATTTAAACAAACGATACGAAGCGAATAAACGAAGTATTACTGTAGACAGACATAGTTAGCTTATTATATACTATGAGCATACATACATATATATGCATATACATTTATAAAAATACTTTTTTATGGTATACAAATTTGTCCATCAGCACAAGTGCTGTTTATGTTGTTGCGGCTAATTCCCATAGATCTTGATGATGATGACGATGACGATTTTCTGTCAGTGTTAGGTATAGTCCATGCGTTTGATTGTTTGTTGTAGGCGTTGTCTTCTGTTTATATATCGTTCATACGCCCGATTGTCCACTACGAGAATTAATTGACTTGGCATTGAACTGTTTGGCCAGTGTGCCGCAAACTTTGTATATTTATGGCCAAAGGCGATTATTTAAAATAATTCGTTTCGGCTACATCATGACATGATCAGCTTTGTTTTATGAGATCATCGAGCGCGTTACTTATTGGTAAAAAAAAAAACCATAAACAAAAATTGGCACACTTTAGCAATTGGTTCAGATTTAATTTTAGTTAGGAGTTACTAGTTCAGTTTACATTTTTATCGGTTCTGTGAGCCTCAGTGTGTGAAAATAGCATTCATGCACTGATCAAATATGTAAATTTATATAATTTTTCGTGGGTTTTGCCCCTTGATTTATGAAGTGTCAGGGCTACAAAATCATCGACAAACTTGATTATTTATCCTATTCAATCTTTCAGATGCCGGCAGCTCTGCGGTGTTGGGCGTGCAGCGTGTGGATCTCTGCCTGGCGGACAACCATGACGAGCACCACACAAGTCACTTCTATGCGGCAGCTGCCAAGGAGGCGCTTATCGTGCGACGAGGCGAACCGTTTCGTTTGCGCATCTACTTCAATCGGGATTACAGCCCCAGCAAAGATGCAATCAGCTTCATATTTAGTGTGACGGACGATAGCAAACCGAATCCGGGACATGGCACTCTGACGGCTCTAGTGCCGCACGATGGCATTGATTTTCTGGGCGATCCATTGGAATGGGGCGCCGGCATCGAATCGCACGAGGGTCAAATATTAACAGTACTAGTGAAGCCACCGGCCACTTGTCCGGTAACTGAGTGGCGTCTGGACATTGACACGAAGCTGCTAGGCGATGGCTCGCGCAGCTATCCGCTGCCACTGCCCATCTATATACTGTTTAATCCCTGGTGTCCGGACGATCAGGTTTACATGGAGGACCGAGATAAGCGCAAGGAGTATGTGATGCATGATACGACCCTCATTTGGCGTGGCTCCTACAATCGACTGCGTCCCTCGGTCTGGAAGGTTGGCCAATTCGAGCGTCATGTGCTCGAGTGCAGCCTGCGAGTTCTTGGCACAGTGGGTCGCATTCCACCTGCCTACCGAGGCGATCCGGTGCGTGTGGCACGTGCTCTATCTGCTCTGGTAAACTCCGTGGATGATGATGGTGTGCTGTTGGGCAACTGGACGGAGGATTTCTCGGGCGGCACAGCACCCACCAAGTGGACGGGCTCCGTCGAGATCTTGCAGCAGTTCTACAAGACCCAGAAGTCGGTGAAGTTCGCCCAATGCTGGAATTTCAGTGGTGTCCTGGCCACAATTGCACGTGCCTTGGGCATTCCTTCACGCATCATCACTTGCTACTCCTCTGCCCATGATACTCAAGCATCGCTGACCGTCGATGTGTTCATCGATGCCAACAATAAGAAACTGGACGCAGAGACAACGGACTCCATATGGAACTATCATGTGTGGAACGAGGTGTGGATGCAGCGTCCCGACCTGGGCATTGGACAGTACGGAACATACGATGGCTGGCAGGTGGTGGATGCGACGCCACAGGAGGCATCGGATAATATGTACCGAGTGGGTCCAGCCTCAGTGCTGGCAGTGAAGCATGGCGAGATTCTGCGTCCCTTCGACTGCGGCTTTGTCTACTCTGAGGTGAATGCCGATAAGCTCTATTGGCGCTACAATGGACCCGCCCAGCCACTGAAGCTGTTGCGCAAGGATACTCTGGCCATTGGCCACTTGATCAGCACCAAGGCAGTGCTGAAGTGGGAGCGTGAGGATATTACCGATACCTATAAATATGCTGAGCGCAGCGAGGAGGAGCGCAGCTATATGCTGAAGGCCTTGAAGCAATCTCGTCATGCTTTCAGTCGCTATTATTTGAATGATAGCTTCAACGAGGTGGAGTTCAGCATGGAGCTGAAGGACGACATCAAGGTGGGCGAGAACTTCTCGGTGGTGCTCAAGGTGACTAACAAGAGCCAGGAGCACATTCATCAAGCCACCGGCCAGCTCAACTGTGATGCAGTTCTCTACACGGGCGTGGGCGCACAGGAGGTGAAGACCATGGGCTTCGAGCTGGATCTGAAGCCGAATAGCACTGAGTTTGTGCGCATGGAGGTCACATTTTTCGAATACTTTGAGAAGTTGTCCTCGCAGGCGGCCTTCCAGATCTCTGCGGCCTGTCGTGTCAAGGATACCGACTACGATTATTATGCCCAGGACGATTTCCGAGTGCGCAAGCCAGACATTAAGCTACAACTGGGCAATGGAGACAACGCCAGCATTGTGTCACAGCAGGAAATCGATATAATCTTGCGTCTGACCAATCCTCTGCCCATAGCACTCCACAAAGGGTTGTTCACAGTGGAAGGACCTGGCATAGAGCACCCACTCAAATTTAAGGTGCGTTATTCAAGACTAGAAGGACTTGAAGAAAGGTACAGTTGTTTTTTTTTATTTCCTACAGATTCCTGAAGTACCAGTGGGTGGCACGGCCGCTGCGACATTTAAGTATGTCCCACCATATGCCGGCCGAGGCACAATGATAGCCAAGTTCACTTCCAAGGAGCTAGATGATGTGGATGGCTACAAGCACTATGAGATTGAGCCGCGACCAGGAGATGTGCTGCAACCCAATGGCAGCCATCGGAGCAGCAATATCATACGCCGGCGCACGGATGTCATTCCCTGAACCAAATGAACCAGTTCGATATTGCAAGTCGTTCTTTTCTGTATTTGTAAGTTAAGCTTGAATTTAAGTTTTATGAATAATGAAAAATAAAAGAAAATCGTCAATTAGTTAGTGTCCTCATCATTGTCCTTGGGCAGTAAGTCTTCAATACCAAGTGCGAAAGCGGGCTTTTTGGCCGTCTTCACGAGATAGATACCACGCGCATCCCTTGGCACTGGATCACCCATAAGAATCTTGCTGCCGGTGCAGTTCTTGCCCTTCACCTCAGCCAATGTGCCACACGGCACGCCATAGAATCCCTTGTCACTGTTTATGGATTCCGCAAAGTACTCATACGAGCGGCCGTGACTGCAACCGGCTGTAAGAACAGATTAGTTGGTATTCTATGTAATATTTACAATCTACTCACTGAAGATCTGTGAGATCTCCGTGCAGCCTGGCTGTGGTGGCCCCCCACCATTTGGATAAAAGTCCACCATGCCAATGGGCTTGCGAAAGCCCAAATAGCCCGCACAGCTATGGATCACATCCACAAAATTGGCATCCGTTTCATCTAAATGATTCTCTGGTCCAATGCAGTCCTCAAATGCGGGTCGCGCTGGATCCAGTCCGGTTATGCGACCAACCCGATATTTCGTATAGGAGCCCGCATAGCCCATTATGTGTGCGCCCAAACTGTGACCAATCAGATGAATGCGCTGTGGATCCGCCTCCTTCTCCTCGACCAGCAGATCAATCAACTTGGCCACCGCACGACCCACTTGCACAGTATATCGAGCCGGTGTCAGATAGTAGATATTATCAGCCTGATCCCTCCAATTGATGGCGAACACATTCACCTGCCCCCGCTGGATATATGCACCCCGTATGGACTGTATGGAGTTACTCATGGTGCTAGATTTCCAGCCATGCACCAAGATTTTGGTATCCAGCTTTGGATCGAACTTTTCGGCCATTTCCTGCCAGGTGTCACGCTTACGACGCTCATGCTCAAAATCGTTCTCATCGATCCAGAAATTTGAACTGATCATCTCATTGGGGGAGTCGCTAAATTGATTGAATTAAATTTTATCAGAGATAGTTTTAATCAAATCAGATGCAAAATTCTCACCTGCCATAATATTCGAACTTGATTAGTTGCGGTAAGCTAATGCGATCCTCTGGTGGCGGCTCTACTAGATAAGCCACCTCTGGCTTGCCATCGCCATTGGGCATATATATCCAGGTCTTGTTGTAATCCTCCTGATTCAAAATCACCTCGCCGCGTATGCCAACTGCCAAGAGAACACAAAATTTTTCAATTGATAAAATAGTTTTAATTACTCTCTTTTTTCAGTTTGGAATTACAAAGCAGCAGCACGGGTCGCACGACCTGAGCCAGTGCAGCGAATCCTGTTATTAGCCACTGGACGACCACAAAGGTGTTGGACACCTCGTTGCGACAGGGATTTATCACATTGCAAATGCATGCGAGTCCATAGCCCGTGCCCATCTCGATTGCTTGTCGGTTGCCTGACAACTAAACGAGCATCTTCAAGAAGTTCTTGGGTCTCTCGTTTAGTGATCCTTCTCTCCTTTTGAAAAACCTGTTTCTTAGTTTGATAATTAATTTGCAACGATCGGCGATACTGAAGCACTTAAATTAATCAGGTCAGTCACTCACTCACCTGGCCAAACGACGGTGACGCAGAGCCAACCCATCGCCAGATTCAACATCATTTTTTGTACGTCGCTTTTTTCCTTACGTTTCTCCGTTACTACTCAACTAAAGTCCCTTACGTTTCAGAGTTTTATAGCTGTTGTGGTGGCGGCCTATTTAAAAGTGAGACCAGGGCCAGTTGTCAATCAAGACTGGAGCTGAACTGTCTTCCAACAGTTGTATCCATTGTAGCCAAAGCAGCTTATCAGGCAACACCACAGGGGTTAATTGGGTTAGACCCAAATTAATATTCACTGATGCATGCAACGGCTGCATTTAAATTCAAAATAAATAAATAAATAAAAACTACTCTGGTTCTTCAAGCTTTGAAAAGAAATGCTACAGGTCCACTTCAGCTTAAGATTGACCTGCTCTCGAAAATAAATGAGAAAGATGTCACGTTCTTTCATACATTGATGTGATTGTGTGTGCGTGCATATGTATTATGCATATAGAATTGCGGGAAAAATATTCAAATTTTGAAATGAAATATAAAATTGATTGTTGTCGGAAAGGGAATCTTGAGGTTAACTTGCAGGTGATTCCAAAAAATACCCTTCAAGCTATGCAATAACTAGCTTTACTGTACATAAGTATGCTATGCTTTTTTCTTCAGTACCTGGAATAATTATGAACAATTAATGCATTCGAACATATTAAGAAAAAAGAAATCGTTGCTACATCAATTTGGACATTATATAATATTTATTTACTTTTTATTTATTTTGCTAATTCGATTCAAATTTTTTCGCAAAGCATAACGTGTTGTCAATATTGAATTTAATGTCTATCGATATTTGCAGATTCTGTATTTTGTTGTTTTCCAAATACTGCCACATTAATTTAGTGCGTCATTTTAGAAACGACGCGAAATTCGCTGAAGTAGCCATTTCATTAAATTGTTTAAGAACTTACGCGACGCGCCAAAAAAAACAAACTTAAAAAATGTCGGGCACTACTCAAAAGTACAGAAATTTTGTGGCTGAGCCCATGGGTGAGAAATCCGTCACAGAATTGGCTGGTATTGGCGAAACGCTTGGTGGACGCCTTACGGAAGCTGGATTTGATAAGGTAAATATGAAATGACGCCATATGCGCAGGACGTGATCTTTTATGTTTCCGTTTTATTTTTTGATAAATAACATTTGGGGTCTGTTTCTAGGCATACACTGTACTTGGTCAGTATTTGGTGCTGAAGAAGGACCAAGAATTATTCAAGGATTGGATGAAGGATGTTTGTCACGCTAGCTCAAAACAAGCATCCGATTGCTACAATTGTCTCAATGATTGGTGCGAGGAGTTCATGTAAACGTTTCAATGTATAAATTGTGGAAAATCTCTGGACAAGCAATTCAGTCGAATGGGATGAGGAAATTTTAACCCATACGAATATGATGTTTAATCTATAATACTATATGTTTTGTCAACAATAATGTTAAGCTATTATTAAAATGTAAATGTATATTAATTAGAGTTCAATTCCCTCGGCTATCCATTGGGTTACATATGGTATGCCAACTTCCTCTTCAGTACCTAATTAAAATTTAAATGAATATAAAAAGCGTAATAGAATGTATTCGATTAGTGATATTGGTTAACCATCATATAAAAATATCGATAACAACGTATATCTGCGATCCGATAACTAGTGGTTGCCGGACTTTAAAAAAAAATAAAGGTGAATGGAATGAAAGCAGCTGCGTGAAAATCTAACAAACATTAATATCATAGTCAAACTGTGGCATAAATTACAAAATAACCAAAGCGTAACTATCGCTTGCTTTATTGGCAAAAGCGCATAAGTCTTCTCATTTTCTTAAAATTAAGCAAAGTGAAAATAGTACGGCCTGATGTGCGCTTGTGTTCGTGTGTTTTTCTTTGTATATAGACATGTAAAGCGAGATAGCTATACAATCGTGCTACTAACACAACGTGTATGAGTGAGCTAAGCATATGCATGCGAGCAGCAGCAACTCTGATGTTTCAGAGTTCCAGGCCAAACATTCTCTGCGACGAACGGCTGAATCGACTTTTTGTGTGCAATGCACGACGTTTGCATTAATTATATTAGTAACAAATCATAAATAACACAGTCATAAACAGAAAAACGTATTTATTTCAGCTTGTGATTCGTACTCAAAATAAAGTTGTTATTTGTCTGCATTTACACTGTAATGCCTGTTCGCGTCGCAGAAAAATTTAATGTGTGTGTGTGTGTTTTTTTTGCGTAAACGTCTCTAACCAAAATCGTAGTCGAAAAAAAACGGTAGCAACAACGTTTCCTTGGAAAAATTTGTAAATAGTCAACAAAATTGTCAAGTAAATGTGCGTAAGAATCATAGATTTATAGAAAAGTCGTATGTGCTGTATACGTTGCACAAGTATGTGTGCCTAAATAGTAGTAAACGTCGTTGTCGTTGTCATTCAAATCAGTGCGATTGGGTGAGTGCGTGTGTATGCGTGTGTGTGTGTATGTTGTGTTGAGTGTGTTTGTGACGTTGTTGTATCGTAAAAAAAAGAGTGAAAGAGAGCGCGCGCGGAGCGGGGGCGTGTAAGGTTCCGGTGAAGTGCGAACAAACGAAAGAGTGTGAGAGAGAAAGGCAGAGCAAGCCGGGAGACAGGAGACAAGCCAGGCGAGCAGTCACTCATTTGAGCCCCGTATCCTTTTGCTTGCTTTTCTGCTGTTCGGGAAAAATTCAATGACCTCATTTGTCTTACGTCTGGCCATTTCTGTTCTGTCTTTTTCCAAAACAGGACCAACAGAAACAGCCATCTAAAAAATAACACTCGAGGGCAAGCTTTAAGAACCAGACCAATCAACGTGTCCAGCGCCATCGAGTGAATTATTTTCAATACAAAAAAAAAAAAACAAGGAATAGAAGAAAACATATTCAGGAACAAAATACAACAGAAAACCACAATAACGGATCGCTGTAACTGGCATAAGGAAGCCAGAGTTCGAGCATCTGGCTACGCAAAGCAACACAAACTACGAGCAGAAGTAGGAGGAGGATTAGCGGAGCCAGCGTCAAGCCACAACACGAGTAACAAAAACCCCACCAACAACAAATGGGAACCAATTCAGGAGCCACTGCTGGCATCAATAACAAGCCGGTCGGTGGTGCAGCCGTCCTGGGCGTTGGTGTTGCCAATTCCGCCATTCTCACCAACAGTTTAGGCAGCGGCGGAGGCGGCGGCCTCAGTATAAGCGGCCTGAGTGGACAGAACGCGAATGTAGGTGGCTTAGTCGGCGGCATGGGCGGTGCTGGCGGTGGCGCTGGCAACAATGGCAGCGACGATAGTATGGGCGGACCTGGCGGTGGACCCAATAATCAGCAAGCAACCACGCCGCAATACACAATTCCGGGCATATTGCATTTCATACAGCATGAATGGTCGCGGTTCGAATTGGAGCGCTCACAGTGGGACGTCGACAGGGCCGAGCTGCAGGTGAGTTCGGTTGCTTATCCTTAAAGCTCACTTTCCATTTCAATGGGTTTTTCTTTGAATGAGTTTATCTGCAAGCCAGCGCACATCTGTATCTAATTTGTTTTGTAATCAACTTTATGCTCTGTTTGCTTCAGTGCTGCAACGGTATTCGTTATATTCAATATGTATTTAAATAGTATTATATATTAGGAAAAATGCATTTATCCACTAACCGGAAAATATTTATGGAATTTTTATTGTTTTACGTTTTTAAAGTAAAATTTACTATTCATTGTATATACACTACTATTACTCAATAATACATTTTCATACTAATTGCCTATGGATGCAACAGCGGCAAAGCCTTTTTTAAATAAAAGGAGAATTTTCATGAAATATTCATTTCTCAATTTTCTAATGACATGCAGATCGCCTATCGATGCATTTGACTCCCCTTCCACCCCCTCTTAGTCCCTCGCTTTCACCCGTATATAGTGCATTAGCAGCTGGAAACGTGCTATCGTTATCGATACTACGCAGCATCGATGCGCTCAGTGTACATTCCGTTACGCTCTGATAAACAAGTGACATTCAAAACGTCACTGCACTGGAAACAAGTTGGCGACGACGCTGACTCTGCATTTTACCTACACAGCACAAGTTGCGCCACACACATTTGTCGCAAACATTTATGTTTATGAACCTGTTCGCCTTGTTTGTGTTTTGCCAAAAACACAGAAAAAGAAAAAAAAAAAATTATAAGAAAATGAAGCAAAGAGTGGGCAGTGACTAGACGACGGCGCCCATGTCCAACAGCAGCAGCCACCACACATTGGAAGCCATTTTAGCTTGTTTGCATACATACACTCACGTATACTTTCTTATGCATATATATACACACATATGTACATATATAGATCTATATATGTATGCATGTGCGCCGGGCTCCACATGCTGCGAGTATCTATTTCTAGCTTGCGGCTGTTTGTGTGTCAGTGTCAGTGCTGCACATGCAACGTCCTTGTGTTTGTGCCGGGCCTGGTTCATTGTACAATCTATCAACTTCCCGCGGCCGCTGCCGGCGTTGCTGCTGTCGATACTTCCATTGGAATCGATGGCAAATGCCGTCAGGCCAGCTGTTAATTAGTCTATTTGTTTTGCATTTGACGAATCGCCGTTTTGATGGAAGCGATTAGTAGAGAGAAAAACAAAGCGTAATTTCCTATCTGCATACATACAATATATGCATATGTATTTTATTTTACGTTTTATTTTTGATCTTGATGTGCATTAGTGATAAAGATACGTACTAATTTATAAATTGTTTACTCATTGTACTCGGTCTGTCTAGGCCTTTTATTATATAGTACTTACAAGTACTGAAGTTAAGGATAGTGACTATAGGAGGACTACAAATGATTTTAATTATTTTCCATAAATTCCTGCATCATAACATAACAAATCACATCATGCTCTAACTTGATAATTTCCGCAAATGCCAAAACCAAATTCATTATTCAACATTTATTTTGTACCAACAAATGACTGTTGCTCTGCTATTTGTATATATTTGAAAAGACTTAGCAAAAAATAAATAAATAAATATAGTATGTGCGCCACCTGCCGCCTACATATTCTGCCCTGTCGTCGTCGACGTCGTCATCACCATCATAATCACCATTGCATGTCGCTAGGTAATTTAAAAAGTGCTTGGCATTAACACATACACGCACCCACAAGCTCATTGCGATGTGGTGTTGTTGCAGTTGGTAGAGTATTGTGGCACTTCTGTGTGGTAGTGTGCACTTCTGTCGCTTTTTGCATTAGCCACCTTTTTTCTTTCGTTCAGCAGCTTTCAGCACTGGCACGCGAACAGCATTCTAACATTTTGCTAGTAAATGCGTGCTTTAATTAGCCGTCGTGCCAAATGAAATGCCATTGAATGTTAATTCAAATGCAGAACATGTTTCCATTAACAGCAGAAGCAGCAGCAGCAGCAGCAATAACAACAAAAACAATAACAATAGCAGCAGCAGCAGCCGTCACAGCAACTAAACAAGAATGAAACAAATTGTGTATAAAATCAAATGGCGGCACAGTTACGTTACGTGCTCTCTCCCTATCTCCCTCTCACTCTCTTACTCTCTCTGACCATTACTTCAAATCGGCTGCTCTCTTTGCTACTCTCGTGAGCTGCGGCTGCTTCTGTTATTAGCATGTATAAATTGTTATTGTTGTTGCCTTTGGGGCGCACACCCATTGAGAGCTGGCCAATTCTTTGTGTGTATGCATCTGTGTGTGTGCGTGCTTGTGAGCAAGTGTGTGTGCACCTCCCCTTTTAAGTTTGTAAGGTAGACCAATTGAATGAGTGTGCTGAAGAGGAAGTAAGCAAAAGTTTCTTTTTATTTATTTATATATTTTTGCTCTGCATCGTAGTTACGCACCTGACAGTCCTTTTTTCGTTATTTTCCTTATCATGTTAATGTTGTGGCTCAATGCGCGGGCGTTTTATACTATAATATTCCGCGTCATCTCCTTTTCTCTATTGCAATACAATGCGTAGAAATATATTATACATAACCTAACATAGTTGTTCCAGCTAAGGATTAGGGCAGGGTACGGAGAGGGTGCTTCTAGTGCTTTCACAATTCAGCGTCGAATATCTTACGCAGTAGCAGTAAATGTTGCGGATTTCACTCTAGCCGCATTCCTATCCTTTTCACTCTCTTGGGTAACAACAATTAGTGCAGCAAGTCTGTAATTTTATATTACAATTAATTGAATTTAATTGTTTTTGTTTTTTTTTTTTTTCGTTCGGTTTGCTATGGTGCAGCAGAGCGTCAATTATAAGACCGATCCAGCGCCGCGCCAAACGCAGCAATTGGAATGCAACGAGACGCATGCATTCATCATTCACACACATACATATACACTCACACATTACACTGAACACACTTATATGCGTACATACATATATGTATATGTATGTATTTAAGCTTTCATATGCTCCCCATGAAAGCTTTCAAGTTTTACATTAATAAACATTGATTATGCTCAAATTTAGCATATGGGGTAGTAATATTCATATGATATATGAATATATAGACATATGTCATATAATATAATATTCATATACGTTCGGTATATGACGTATAGTCTTAAATATAATGTGATCGATTACATCACATATGCAGTTATAATTACAGTATAAGTTGCTTATCTAGATATTATTATTTGGCATTTCTTAATGTCCTTATTTCAACTAAAGCTAATCACTTTTCTCATTTTTTTATAGGCGCGCATTGCTATGTTGCTGGGCGAGCGTAAATGTTTAGAGAGCCTCAAATCTGATCTAACGCGACGCATTAAAATGCTGGAGTATGCACTGCGTCAGGAGCGAGCGAAATTCTATCGATTAAAATACGGCACCGATCCGCCGCAATTAAACGAGTTCAAACCATCGTCGAATGATGATGGTGGCATCGGTACCGATGTGGCCACCGATTCGGAAGTGCCCTACAGCTCTGTGTCGAACACTACGTGGCGGCAAGGCAGACAAATGTTGCGCCAATATCTGGCAGAAATCGGTTATACAGACAACATAATCGATGTGCGTTCAAATCGTGTTCGCTCCATTCTTGGACTCAACAATAATGCGGATCATGATGGTGTCGGTGGTGGCGGCGGTGGCGGTGGTAACGCTGGCGGCATTGGCAGCGGTGGCGAGAATCTCAGTCCCAATATAAATGGCAATGAGAGCAATAAACGTGCCTCAGAATCGGAAGGTAGGTCATTGCACACCCTCTTCCCCCCTGTTGAAGATTTGAATAATTTGCTCACATTAGGCCGTCATACTCCCGCTAAAAAAGTGCAACAATCGAATGATGCCATCATACTGGACACCGAGGCGGCAGTCATGGCCAATTTTGAGTTCCTTGGACCCACAGAGATGTCCGACGATGATGAAATCTCCGATGATCTGGAAATGGTGGCGACCGACAATGAGGATACTGATGTCAAAATGGCCAAACGGCCCAAGTCAGGAAAGGATATGCTTACCGAAGGTACGAATTGATCTACGAATTGATCATCCGCTCCCTCTTCATACCAATTTGCAAAGCCCTCCCACCCGTCGCATATTCTGTAGTATTTATATTTTTACTTTGCAAAGTCCCGATTAAAAAAAAATATAACGATCCATAGTACTGTACACAATCCAAAAACAAACGCTGTATTTGTTATATGCTTTTCGCTTTCTGTTTCTTTCGCTTTTCTCTTCTTCTTCGTCTACGTCTTGTTGATGCGTTCATCAATTGCATAGATCTTGAGGCGGAGGTGGGAGAGCAGCTCTTAAACGATATGAATCTAATAACCGAAGGTGCTTTTTACTAATCACTAATCACTCACTGGATTCGAAAACTGCTAAACAATCTTTGGAAAGTGTGACAAGAATCTAAATAAAATCTAGAGAATCTAACGATAGTTAGTAAAGTGTCAATACGTTTCCATTGATTGTCAATTTGAACCATAATTATTGATTTCTCTTTTATATATTAAATTAAATTTCTGATTTGCATTTCTTCGCAGAGGTGGACGGTTCCTTGGGACTAGGTGAGCTAGCGCAGCTGACGGTGAACAATGAGTCGGACGGAGCGTACGATGCGAATGCCAAGGACGGCACTGGTGGCAGTGCCGGTGGCGCTGGCTATCGCAAAACCTGGAATGCCAAGTATACGCTGCGCTCGCACTTTGACGGAGTGCGCTCACTGATTTTCCATCCGGAGGAGCCCGTGCTAATCACTGCCTCCGAGGATAATACGCTCAAGCTGTGGAATCTACAGAAGACGGTACAAGCCAAAAAATCCGCTAGTCTTGATGTTGAGCCGCTCTATACGTTCCGTGCCCACACCGGACCCGTCCTCTGCCTGGGCATGTCCTCTAGCGGCGAGACATGCTATTCGGGTGGCCTCGATGGCAATATCGAGTGCTGGCAACTGCCATCGCCCAATATTGATCCATATGATTGCTACGATCCGAACGTGCATTCCGGCACACTGGAGGGCCATACGGACGCCGTTTGGGGTCTGACCACAATGCAGAATAATATTGTGTCATGTTCGGCAGACGGCACCGTTAAGCTGTGGTCACCATATACCAAGGAGCCGCTACTGCGCACCTATACGGCCGCGGAGGCCGAGGGCGGGCCCTCATCCGTGGACTTTGTGCGCAACGAGGTGGATCACATTGTGGTGGCCTACAACAGTGCACATTGCATTATCTATGACACGGAAACGGGCAAACAGGTGATTAAGCTGGAGGCCTCACAAGAGATGTCCGGAAATACGGGGAAGTTCATTAATAAAGTCGTCTCACATCCGACACTGCCCATCACAATAACCGCACACGAGGATCGCCATATACGCTTCTGGGATAATACATCGGGAACATTGGTGCATTCAATGGTGGCGCATTTGGAGCCGGTTACATCGTTAGCCGTTGATGCCCATGGACTGTATTTGCTGTCCGGTTCACATGACTGCTCCATACGCCTCTGGAATCTGGACAATAAGACGTGCGTGCAGGAGATAACCGCACATCGTAAAAAGTTCGATGAGAGCATATTTGACGTGGCGTTCCATGCAACCAAGCCCTATATAGCGAGTGCCGGTGCTGATGGACTGGCCAAGGTCTTTGTTTAACTTACGTCGGACTAGCCTCAACCCCCAATACCCAAATATTCAATCCCAATCCCTAATCTCCACCTTCATACACACAGCCAATGCTGCAGCAGCTCTCAGCTAAGCGATTACGAGTTCGAGTTAAATAATTATACATATAAAAAAATACACTTATATATATACATTATACTACTATACATTTAATTCTAATTATACAATTATATACATGAGATGAACAACAAACACACATTGCTATATATATATATATATACATGAAATGGCATAAATCAACCTAAAAAATAATAACATATATATATATAATAAAATTGACATTATTATGGCATTTCCGAGCGTACGAGCGAGCACCATTTGTAATCTAAAAGATCAAGTGAATACGAATACAATATCTATGCCGCATATTAAACACACATACACACACACACTATTTGTTGACGACAAATGTAAAGTTCTTGATTTTATGGCATTTAATTTTTTTATTTTTCTTAGCCACAATTTCAACAACTTTGTTTTACTTTATTTTTTTAATGTAGTCAATTTCCAATCGATGACAATTTAGTTTATAATTATATTTTATATTGCGCTTAACTGCTCAGCGATTGCGTCAATAGTTGATCCAGTGGGAAGCTTTACTGTACATTTTATATAAAGAAAAAAAGCCCTTAAATGATATAATCGATTATGTAATGAAGTTAATGTACGTACCTTTTGCTATATTGGCCGCTCGCTGTGCAAGTTTTTTTTGCAATTAAATGTACTCAGCTAACAAAAAAGAAAAAAAAAACGTTTACGTAATGATATATAGACGATCAAATTTGTAGAACATAACGGTTTATATATATAGCCATTAGCCCACTCTCTTAATCATACAAAAGGATGAAATAACACAAAGAGCGTGCAAGTTGTAAATTAAGTTTAGTAAACGACGACGACGATAAAGATGTTTATTTATTAAAAGTGTGGAAAGTAATGAAACAGGAAGGAATAAACAATCGCCAGAAAACTTTATTAAGCACTAAGTGAAAAGTAAAATGCTTCGATTTCTATAATTTTTCATATACAAATCTTAAAGAAAAAGTACGCAATGCTTGGGTTAGAGATCCACAAAAATATATACAGATCCAGATCCAGATGATATATAAAACATAATAAATAAATGCCGTTGAGCTATAACTGTATGCTAAGCTATTTATTTAATTTATGCCTAGTATTAAACACAAAGCAAACAAGAAATGAAAAGGATTTCGTACACTTGTAGTTGAATATATATTTACTCATAAATATATATATATGATTTGGATCGCTTAACGATTCATTATTTGTAATCAAATAAACGTTAAAAAATGTGGACGTGAATGCCGAGCAACTCAATATTAGTAATAGTATTAACAATTAAAAGAAAATGTAACGAAACGCAGCTAAAGAAAAAAATGAACCCAAGTTGATATTCGATAAAAAAATATATATAAATCAAGTGATGATTCATATATATATAATTTATATATACATATAAAATCCTTTACTATCAACAAATTATGTGTTTTAATTTGTACTTTTAGTTGTTACAAATTGAAAATGCGATATCATATATAAATATATACACCCATACACATTGTAGATCTATATGATTAACTACTAAAAACAAAAAACAAAATATAGTGGTAGTTATATAAACAAACACACACACATATACAAACACATTAATACATTAAATCTATTGATTTTTAATTTTTTAATTGTACATTTTTTATTTTTTGATTACCATGTATTTTTATTTTAAATAAAGTTTTACAAAATGAATTTGGCCTTGAGATATTTTTAAAACACCAACGCATTTCTCAACAATACGAAAATATAACCAAATAAAAGCAATTTTCTAAAACGTTGTGGACCAGCGGGTTCTCGTTTGCAACGATACAGTTCATCCGAACAGTCAGTAAAAAAAAATAACATCCAAACCTTTGTTGCCTTTTCATTTGAATGAAAGAAAGATAAATTACCAACAAGACAAAATTTCCGCTGCTGGCAGCAATTTTCACTTCATAATTGATAAAAAAAAGAAAGAAAAACAAACGAAAAGAAACTCGCACAAAATGGTTTTTATTTTTGTACCGTTATACAAATCCACTGCCATATTTTCACCAAAACGCAAACATTACGAAATGAATGTAGAAGCTGATTCTAAACAGATTATTGTAAACATTTTTTATTTGTTACTTTCACGCAATGGGATGCCACAATTTATAATATTTATATAAAATAAAAAAATAAAAACATTCGATAGTGTTATTCGATAAATAACCAAAGCTGAATGCGCATGATATAATTAAAAAACTAAGAGCAAAAATAAAATAAATTTAATATTAAGTCGTACAACGTTCATTGTAGATTTGAGCATATAGCGGAATAACCCCAATTCCCAGCACATAAGTTTATACATATAGAAAACAAAAATTTAAAAGAAAACTCATGCATATTAAAGAAAATAACAAAAATAAATATATATATATTAAATATAAAAAAAAAAATACTTTTATAGTAAATCAAAAATAAACACCATACATTATACTTAAACAACAAGAAAATAAAACATAAAGAAAACTCCACACACACTTCATGTTAAGATATAATAAAAATGAATAAATAAAATATTTAAAAGCAATCAAAAAATACGTTATGGGTTTTTCCAGCACTATTTGTACATTTACAGTACTGCAAATGGTGTGGTGGGTAATCGATAGTATTATCTAGCGTGATCGAAAGTAATCGTAATCGTCCCGTATCAATAAGTTAGTTATCGACTTAAATACAATTAATAATAATAATGGAAGCAAATGCAACATTTACCGGGGATGTGGATAAAACTCAGATACCACCGCTAAATCAAAAGCGTATACTCGCTTTTGTTAATCACTTCCTACTAAGTACCTGCAATTTTCTCAATGAATTCGCCTTGAATTGCGAGACCAAATTTGTGCGAATGGAGCGACAGCTTCAAAGAACTGAAGCTGCGTTAATAATTCTAGAAACGAAGCTGGCATCCATACCGGTAGATAATTCCGCCACAACGCCTGAAGTAATAAGCACTGAGGCAACAACAGACGAAACTGATAAGCCAGAAGTAGAAGCACCCGCAGAAGTAAAAGGCGTTCGAGTGTGTGAAGATATTCGTTATAAGAAATTCTTCAGAATGCTGCAAGTAGGCGTACCTGCGCCCGCGGTTAAAATAAAAATGAGCTCAGAAGGACTGGATTCCGAAATGCTAGAGTAAGTTGATTAACAATTATCCCCGCTTAGCTAAAAACTATATTTATTTTCAGTAAACCCGACTTCATGCTCGAGGATGGCATTCTGGAATAAAATTTGGAGTATTGTCCTGAGCAACATATATTGTGATATAGCATGAGCATAAAATGCTACATTTTTAAATAATACAATTGGCAAAAATTTACTTCTACAATTTGTTTTATTTTCTCACTTATTGCCGAACATGGCAAAAGCAGTCGATGAAAACAACTTAAAAACACTTCATTATCAAAAGGTAGCTGGCGATTACAAATCCTGGAAGCTTAGAACTGAATCATCTGTCCCTTGCGCTTCTTGTCACCGCCCAGCTCGAAGTGCTTGCAACGCTTCAGGGGTGTCTGCTTGCGGTATTTGCAATCAGTGCACTCCATACGCAGCACAATTTTCTTGGTGGTTTTGGCCTGTTAATGAATAAAAGAGTAAATACATTATTATCAAATTAATAGGGATAATTCGGAAGCTTTTTAAATTTTACATTTGTTTGTTGTGCAGGTGGGGCGCATATCGCATAGAAAAAGGCGAGCACGCTGCCATTAAGGCCGCACACAATGCAAGAACAAATTACTTTTGGCACACCTTCCCAATGAATTGCTTAAAGCTTCACTCAAGAAAGCGCAGTCAACTCAGTTCTACTTAAGTGCCAATATTGATATGGTATTATCCCATTGATCTACTCACCTTCTTCCTGAAGATGGGCTTGGTCTGACCACCGAAACCCTGCTGTTTTCTGTCGTAACGTCTTCTGCCCTGAGCACCCTTGCGCTCCTTGGACTTCTTGTACTGCGTCACCTTGTGCAGCTTGTGGACCTTGCACTTTTTGCAAAAGGTGCGACGTTGCTTAGGTACATTCACCTATAAGAATCAGAAACAACATATTAATTTTTGCTTTCTCAGTTCTCTGTTGCCGCCATCACAAATGTTAAACACTAACACAAAAGCTTGCGTATCAAATAGAATGCATTGTAAGTACGCACATTCGTTTAATATTGTCACAAAATCACAGACAACATTATGTTGTGCAATAATTAATAGTTTGTTTAACATTTTTAACGTTATTATCACGGATGTTTGCTGATTTTCGTCAAAGCCGATCAGAACACCTACCATCTTGAATAGGAAAGAAAACCCAAAAAGACGGAATTAGAGATGTGCAATAGTTACGTATCGCTGTGAATGGCAAAAAACAGTATTGCCAAGATTTCCTACTCGAAACGATATTTGCCAGTCACTAGATATTTCAGCTGCGATAAGTGCTGCCACCACTAATTAGTAAAATTAAACAAAAAAAAGAAGGAACTTTGCAACTGAGAGAAAATATCTTTTTCAGCGGCCGACGAGTTTACTGGTGGACAGACGGCCATAGTGCCACAATTGTGTGCAATGTAAGAAGTGTAGAAAACATGCATCAATACAATTGCAACCGGATAAACACAATACAAACGGATGTGCCCGTCATTGTGTTAACGCAATTAGCATAAAAATGAGATTGGGCTGCGAATGCGAGAGTGTAATTAAAATGCGAAGAATGTACGCGCTGCTGCCAACCTTGACATTTTGGTTAATGAGCTTTCAATTGCCATCACAATCGGATCAACTACATATAACAGCGCCCTGCGATCGCAGTCGCAAGGTATTCACCGAGCCCTACGGTGAAATCAGCGATGGTCCCTCTGGCTACAATTATACGCAGGATTCGCACTGTGAATGGCTGATAAAAGCGAAAAATGACAGTCAATTTATAACCTTAACATTCCATAGTATGGGCACAGAGTGCTCCTATGATTATATATATGTATACGACGGCGATTCCTTCAATTCAACTCTCTTGGGCAGCTTTAGCGGACGCACACAACCGCAAAAACTAGTCGCACGGAGCGGTAGTGTAAGTGCCGAAATACTCCACACTCTTAAGTCCTTTATTCATCTCAAAATTTGTCTACACAGATGCTCATTCTAATGTACAGCGATACAAACTACGTGCTGGATGGATTTCGTGCTTCCTATTACATATCAAACTGCCTGAACAACTGCCACAATCATGGAAAATGCGTGGGCCACCAATGCGTCTGCCATGGCGAATGGGTGGGGCCTGACTGTGAGGATGAAGCGTGCCCGCAGAAATGCGGTGAACATCAAGGTCGCGGGAAGTGCCAGAAAAGCATTTGTCATTGCTCCCCGGGCTATAGTGGACGCTTGTGTGATCTTAGTGATAATCCACCAGGCAGCAGCTGGCGTTGGCTGGCCACCGATGCTGAGGGCATGACGCCGCGTGCTGCACACTCTGCCGTTTATATGGAAGACGAGGATGCACTCTATGTATTTGGGGGTTACGATCTGAACAATGTCATTAGCACGTTGCAGGTACGTTAAGAATGGAATTTACCTAGAAAGCTACCTATTTAACTATATATTTTTTTCATAGATATATCGCTTTAGCACCAGTCAATGGGAGGATGAATGGGGCATACCACTGCAGAGTCGCCGTCACTTTTATCATCCACAAAAAATTGATCATACACTGTTGAAAGCTGTGCTGCAGCACAAGAACGAAGACGAGGCCAAACTGTGGGGCCTGACCAGCGATGTAAGCTTCTTTCGTAATATCCTCTACACGCTGGCCGAGTCTAATTTACATCAAAGACGCACCCGCTCCTCGCTGCCATTGACTACAGTAAACGCGAACTCGACGGACGAAGAGTTAACTGAATATCTGGAGGATATACTGGAAGAGGTGACCGATCACAAACCACATGGCCGTTATGGACATGCTGCAGATCGGGTTCCAGGAGGCTTTGTCATCTATGGCGGCAAGCATGCTAACGGCAGCTTCTACAACGATCTCTGGCAATATAATAACACAGAAAGTGGTGGCAAGTGGAAGCAAATGGCTGTCAGATCAAAGCTACAGCCTCCGGCGCTTGCAAGGCATACTCTAACCACTGCCTTGGACTATTTGTATCTGTTTGGCGGCAGTATGGAATCAGGTGAATTCTCCTCCAGCATTTATCGGATACGCTTGCCCCTCAGCGAAGATTCGCAATGGCAACTCGTGAAGCCGCGAGGCGGGAAAACCTTGGATGTGCGTTTGGCTGCGCATTCGACGGTTTACTATGGAGCAACTAATTCGTTGATTGTATTTGGTGGCATTATGACGAGTTTAGCACGCTTTTCAAAGCTGTCGGATCGCATATTTGCCTTTCAACTGGATCAGCTGCACTGGACTGAAATCTTATATCCGCGTACAGCATTGAGAGACACGAATATACCAAGGGAGCGAGCATTTCATACGGCCACCATATCGGGCAATTATATGATTGTCTTTGGTGGCTATACGCATCGCCATAACAAGGATGAGATATGCTACGATAATCAAATGTATTGGTATCACTTAAGCTGTCACATTTGGATCAATCAGGTGGTCTCGGCCGATGATAGTCTGTACCCGAAGCAACAGGGCGTTTTTGCCCACGCCGCTGCACTGCGTCGCAATCACACGCTGCTAATCGTGGGCGGCTATCACGGCAATGTGAATGCCGATCTATTTGCCTATGAGCTGCCGCAGGTGCTACGTGTGGAGAATCCGCTCTACAATCACAATCCGGAGATGGCGTGTCGTCTGCATGCCTCACATACTGCATGTCTATCGAATCCCGAATGCGGCTGGTGCTCGGCGGATAGCAGCTGCTATGGACGCACAATTGGAGCCAACTGCACCACCAATTTGCAGACGACACGCTGCCCCGGAATTTGCCCCTCCTTGGGTGATTGTCATTCGTGCCTGGTGCACGGCACCCTGTGGGGCGGTGGCAATGCCGCCGCGTTCTCCGTAGCCAGCAAACTGGGTCTCAACGAGTGCACCTGGTGTGTACAAAATGCCCGTTGTCATTATCGTGCTGATAACTATGGCATGTGCGGCGATAGCACCGGCTGGTGGGGCGAACAGGGCACCGAGATTCGTGAACCTGATATGTGCACCCGCAATGATCGGCGTCCGGGCTTGACTTACATCAAGTATAACTATCCCGTCAACTTCACCATGCCCGATTATGTGGGCATTGTGAACGCTACCATGGTGGACTTTGCCTCGCCGCCGCCCACTGCGTACTTTGAGCAGCGGCAGGAAGGTGAAATGTTGGCACGCCTCCTGGGCTTCGTGCGGCCTCAGCAGCAGTGGAACAGCAACAATAATTCAGCCATACAGGTGTGCAGCAGCTACTCGTCAGCTGTGCTGCGTGTGGGTCTGGGCATGAATCTCGATATGCTGGACAATGTGACCACGCAAAGCTCAAATCAATCGTACTGCAGCAATGTTCAGCTACCCAGCACTGAGCAGCCATTCCTCATCGATTTTCAGGTGAGTTTATTTTGTATTTCTGATATTCATAATAATAAATAAGTAAATGATATTTATATAATTTTCATTGCAGGCTCGCCGTCGCATTGGCCAGAACAACATCTACAATACCTACCAGAAGACGAAAATGGAGCTGCAGCATTTGCATAACGGACAGCTGAATGCGTTTACTTTCGAGTACTTGGAGCCGTACTATTCCGGTGATTGCACTCAGTATAACAATTGTCTGCATTGTCTGACCGATGGCTCCTGCTCGTGGTGTCCATTGACCAGCAAATGCCATCTGAAGTCAGTCAATGAGAGCGCCGTCTGTGTGGCGAATGATACGGATCAGGGCACCCATTGGGCGTACTTGATTAGTCAGCCCAGTCAGTGTGCCAATTGCTCCAACTATGTGACCTGTCGCGCCTGCGTCTCCACGCCTGGCAATGGCGAGTGCGAATGGTGGTTGGATGATGCGCGCTGTGGACGCATTGGCAAATCGAACAGCAGCGTCCGATCCATTGCACAGTGTCCGCGGCCATGTCGCGAGCGTCGCGGCTGCGATCAGTGTCTAGGCGAGCGTGGACGTTGTGTCTGGTGTGAGGCAAGCGCCCAGTGCTTTAGCTTTGCCGTATACACCAGCGAATATCAGTTTGGCATGTGCCGCGAGTGGATCGACAAGGTGGGCACGCCGCCCATGTCGCCGGCAGCTGGACCCATTGCCTCGTCGGCCTCTGCAACGCCCACAACCACATTGACTATGCATCCGGCACCGCCGCGTTCCCTGC